TTTCTCTTCTTAAAATGTGGTACCCAGAACTGAACATTGTACTGAAGATAACGATTTCACTAGGACAGAGTATAGTGGAACTGTCACTTCCTTATTTCTGGTCTCCATGCCTCTCAATTTAGTCCAAGATTTCATTAACTTTGTTGAATATCATGTCACACTGCTGACTCAAGTTGAGCTTACGATTCATTAATCCCAATTTGTTGACCAAGGTAGATATACTAGTGCAATTCACTCGAGTCGAGGGGCTTAATTTTTCTAAAATATTTTATCTTTTTTTAACCCATTCTTGTTCTGGGGAAGAGGGTGGCATTTGGTATGTTACTGTGAGGTAATGTCTCTGCAGCCTTTGTGGGGCCAAGGTGGGCCTTCTTGCGTTTAACAAGAACTTCATTCATTGACTACCCTAGAATAGGAAAGAGTCTGTTGAAGGAATGTTAAAATGTATAGACAGAGCTTACTCAGCGCAAATTAAAATGACTGGAAGCAATAATATAGCTAGAAATTTCTGAAAGTCTGTGGTCCTTTTTGAATACAGAATATTCTTTGAATATAGGTAGTTTATTAACAAGATAATAAAGTTCTCTAAACTCTGGGCTCCTAACCGTTCCTGCTTGATATCAATTTTTTCCTTGCTTTCTCTGAGCTGCCATACATTTCTGGTATTGCATTTGTTATGGCAGTGGGTGGTTGAGAAGAAAAAGGGAAGAAGAAAATTTAAAATCACATCCTTAGGTAGTAATAAATTTTGTTTTCATAGTCTGTGCAAACATATGAAAATTAATTTGTAAATTACATGACCCTCCTACCTATTTTCACAGAATTGGAAATAGTGTTTCAGAAAAACACTATAATGAAGGGTCGTGATGTAGTTACAAAGGTGTGTGAGCTGAGATTTGTAATTATCTAAATAATCCACCTAAGTGATATTTGGTTGATATTGAATCTCATTGGAAATCTTGACCTATATACTGTCTTACCTCATTCAGAATAACTCCATGGGTACACATCCTTTATGTTCCTCCATTCTTTTGATTTTAGTCCACTCTATCAAATTTCCAACATATGGGTATAAATATATGCCTACATATTGCTGTCAATCTTCCTACATAAACAATGTAATTCTCCTTGCTTTGTGCTCACTTGCTCCATTGTTTCTATGAGCATATATCTATCTGTATGTATATATAAGATTACATATAAAAATGTATGTGTATATGTGTATACACATATGTGAAGTTTATATATAAAAGTATATATGTGTATACATAAGTTTATGTTTATATATAAAAGTATATGTGTATATATACATGTGTTTATATATAAACATATATGTGTGTGTGTGTGTGTGTGTGTGTATATAGAGATGTATACATTTTGTGAATGGATTCTATGTTTTGGTCCTTATTCTTTATCTTCCTTTCAAGTCCAGAGATTAGTTTACTGCATCATGCCATCCATCTCCTGCGTTGTTGCTGTTAAACTCTTCTCTTCTTGTATAAACAGTATGATTTTCTTTGCTTGTGCTCACTCACCCCATTATTGCTATGAGCCTCAGTTCCAAGACTCATACCTCAGCCCCGGTTCTTCATTGCTCACTTTATAAAGTGCTAACCACAGGATGTTAGATACCAGCACCCACAGTACACTAATGGGTCCTGTTCTCCTGCCTTGCTCTTTTTCTGAGCCTAGACACCAATTTGATACTGCCTTTTTGCCACCTTGTCTTATTTGGTTCCTTAATTCTCACTTATATATTCCCTCTAATTTGAGGGGGGAAATTTTTCTAGGATTTCACTTTGGATCCTGCTTTTAGGTTTGCAACTGTGCGATATGATCAAGGAGCTAAGAATATACGGAACCAATTCATGCACCTGACCAACTACAGCGTGAACAAGAAGAGCGGCGACTACGTCAGGTAGGATTGGCGGCTAGGCCACAGAGCCCTGGAGCAGGGGGAAGAAGAGGCAGAGGCCGAGGCTAGCTCTGCACTGGTAACAGTCAGCTCCTCACAAATGAATCCTGATGAAGGCTTTTTTTTAGCGGGGGAAGTGAACTTCACATCCGTATTTAGTGGGTGTGTTTGAAATTCACTATTGCTGGCAGGTGGCAAAGGATAGGTTTTGAGCTGGGTTTTTTTTTTTTTTTTCATTTCTGGCACAGCCACAATACATCCTTCCTCGTTAAAAACCTTTCTTCACCTTTTTGTACTTCCTCATTTTCTAAAGTAAGGGTAATAGTTGCATTAAAGATCATTGGGGGATATTGCCTTTTGGAAAGCAAGAAATGAGGCCATCTTGGAAGAGAACTCAGTGGAATGGAGGACCGGCCCTTTTCTTGGAAACATTTTCTCTGTTCTGTTTTTCTTTCATACTCAACAATTTAGCCAGAAAATGGAAAAATAAAAAAGAAACCCAAATAGTTACTTTTTGCTCAAACTAAAAATAGATTCATAGCAGGTCCAAGAAAGGAAAGAAACCAGGAATCTGAAGGCATTGGAATAGGAGCTAGAATTTTATAGGTTTAATTGAACTTCCCTTCACTAGGGTTCGGGATGGTTAAAGAAATCAAATCCTTCATTTTGGAAGGTTAGCAGTGTGAATGGAGGTGTGGTAGGTGATGGGGAACAGCTTGATGTGACATAAAACACCTATTCCCCCCCCCCCCACAACAAATTGTGAGACTTTCAACATTCTTGGGACCTCCAACCCATAACACAGAGCCATATACATAAATAGTCACTTATAAATATTTGTTGAGTTTTGAATGTTGGAATTCTATTCCAAGCATGGCATATCTTTACTTATAATGGTGGATAAGGATGGGACCTGTGATTTTATTGGTGTTGGACAGAGGTGCTAAACATGCAACCCATAACACTCCTGAGTGTGGCCCAATCCAGATTAAAGTGCATTTAACAGAAAAACGTAAATAAAAAATACAGTAAAACACAGTAATGTTAAAATGTGGTTTTCTAAGTTAATCTGTAGCCCTCAGGGATCTTTATGTACGGTTTTGTGGCCCCAGTAGAGTTTGATACCACTGGTGTAGGGAACTCCCTGATGAGGAAACTGTCTCTATCAATGCAGATCAGCATCTTCTCTGCAGCTTCAGGGCCTGGAAAGGTGAAGGTACTTGCCCAGGCTCACAGAGCCAGTGTGGTGCCAGAGGAAGGACTAGAATTCAGGTTTTCCTTGTTCCAAGGTTGGCTGTCTATCCATGATGCCGTGTTGCCTCTTTTCTTCGTAATAGTAGTATAGTTTGTGAAGCTTACTGATGCCCTGGTGTGAGCCTGTTAACTGACACCAAAAACTGAGAAAGGGGTAAGGGAAAATAAAGAGCTTATTTCAGGGGCAAAAGCATGAACGTATTTGGTTATAATCTTGCCTCATCCAACCTCTTTTCCTCGGACAGAAGCACTAAGGGATGTTTTGTGGTAAAGCACAAAATTTTCTTCAAAGATTACAGGCAGATCCACAAATTTTCCTATCTTCGTACTCTCCATAAATTTCTTGAAACCTTTCTTAGATTATTTTAGATTTTTGAATTACCATTTTCCCTCTAGTGACTAGCACTATTATTTGGATAAGACAAAATTAGCTTTTTTTCTTACCACCAACAGAATATGGAAAGTGTATAACTTTTGATTTCCATTTGTGTTAATACGATGAAGGAAACAGAACAATAGAGTGGATAGCAGAAGAGAGAGAAGGGAGAAGATGTATTTCCTGTGGAGTTTATGTGAACTAGAAAACCATTCAAAAGAATCTTATTCTTCAAGACCAAAAAGCCTAAAGCCGCATGTGACCCCTGACTCCTTGGTTTGTTTTCAGTTGTGATGATCCCGAAGTGGAAGACTATGGGAACAAGTGGAGCATGAGTGCCATGCTCAGGTACCTGAAGCAAGAAGGGAGAGACACGGCTGGTGAGTAGCCCAGCCTCCGCACTTGTGTTTCTTCCCTGTGGAAGGGTGGAGTAAAGTGGCCTCTGCCTCCTGCCAGGGGTCACTGTCATTGGCTTTGTGATCCTAAGGCAGAAAGGGCTGTCAGACAGGATTATGGGTGGTGGGGGTAGGTACTTGTTCCTCCTGCTTCAGAAAGCAAAGAATAGTTCTGGCTCTTGGGGGTAGTCCCCTTCATTTGCTTCCTGGACACACATATAAAACTCTATTAGCCCTTGAATTATCGGTGGAGGCAATTTCACTTCATTTGACAAATTGTATCCATTTTTCCCTAATGAAGCCTTAAGTTCAAGTTCTTTTAAGCAGATCTCCCTCTTTCATATTGGCATCTGATCAGTTTGGCATTAAGCATAGACAATGAGTATATTTTCAAGGGCATTGAAATGGATAAGGTTGATGATCTCTAAGCAACATGAAAACACAATTTTGCTAAAGGAGTATTCTTAGTCTACTAGGAAAAAGACTCATAGTAAAGAAATACTTGTTTTCAAATGTTTGAAAGGCTGTCATGTGAAAGAGGGTTGTATCATTTTGCTTGGCTGTAAAGGAAATAAGACGTAGAAGTTATGTAGGCATATTTAACTTTGATCTAAGGAAATATTGCTGCTTTGTGTGGTAGTGGGTTCCTCCTCATTTGAAGACTTCAAGAAAAGAGGAGAACACTTCTTAGGTATACTGTAGAGGGAATTCTTACTCAGGTTTGATTAGGTAGATCCTTAGGCCCTTTCCAATTCTTGAGATTCTGTATTTCTGTGTGAATTTAAGGGGGAAATAGGCGTCATTTCTAGAATAAGAATGCTTTTTTTCTTAAGTAGACACCTCGGTGCATTTGCACACACATGCAAGTACTGATATCCTGGGCTGTACTGTTGTTCGTCCTTTGTTCTCAAAAAGGACCGTGACATCAGGAAGGTGATGCCGTGGCTTGCAAGTGAATTGGATTTAAGCAAGGGAGCGCTGTGCAAAGTCACCAGCCTTTCTTTCTCCTCCGGAGCCATCTGGGTCCAGTAGCAAGATATAGATCAGGATGACTGGAGATGACTCCTTCCCCCTGCACTGCATATAACTTACTTTAGCTACCCATTCAAAGGGAGGACATCTGGACATTTTTGGACTTGGGTATATATCCTTTCATGAATACAATCTAGGGTGCAGTACATGCAATTTTGTATTTCCTTCTTCATGATTTTTTGTTTATTTTGCAGCACTGATGGCCCATGTAGAGGATCTGATCATTAAGACTATTATCTCTGCTGAGCTAGCTATTGCTACTGCTTGTAAAACCTTTGTTCCTCACCGCAGCAGTTGTTTCGGTAAGGAGATTCAAAAAGTCTAATGGTGAACTGTGATAAGATTCTGGAGCAGGGAGGGCAAGGTGGATATATGGTGGGTGTTGGATATAAAGATGCTACTAAGAGGGCAGTGAAGAGCTGAGTTGGGACCACATTTAGACATGACTAGATATCTGTGTGGGTAAGAATGGTTAGAGCTACATAGTGGGGTCTCCATCAAACTGTGACTGAAAAATGCCTTTTATGGTCTGTGCAGAAGTATTGGTCTAGCAAATGTATTCCAGAACTTACTGGCAGAGGTACACTGGGAATTCTTCCAAGAAGCTTTGGCTGGTACTAGTGTGTGCTTTCTTCTGTTTTCTATTGACTCCTCCTTTTTTGCTTTACTGCTCTTTCTGGTGAGCCTCCCTTCTTTCTCTCCATCCCTGATTGCATAGGGGAGGAATTCTAAACCAGTCTCTTCCAGAGACTAGTCACCGACTGACCAGTTGTAGCCACAAGCAAAGTCAGAGAGGCACTCATTCAGATGTGGGCCCAGTTATAACTGGAGCCCTGAGGTTGAAGTAATTGATAAGAAAAAAAGTCTCTGTGTCCTGACTATTGAACTCAAGGATGAAAACAGTAAGAATACAGATCTGTAACTTGGCCTGAGCACAAGAAATTCATAGCCATCCATTTTTCCCTGAAGGAGTTCAGCATCGAGAATTGTTGAGATTATGAATAGAGGTTGAAACAGGCAGTGGAGAACCTTAAATTCTATAGTAATGATGGTATAGCTATCGACTGATTCATTATGAACTGGACCTTAATTACCTGATACATTTTAAATAACCTACTTAGAGGTCTCCCAAAATTATGCCGACAGAAGCAGGGAAATAGAAGCATGCATCCCAAACACTGACTCTTTTTTCCCAGATTGAAGGGGGGAAAAAAAATAAGATGTGTGGTCCTTGTTCTAATGAGTGGTTATTGCATATCTAGAAGTAATGGTGTAAAATTATGTTCTAAAGTTACATAGAAGAGTTTTCTGTACTTTTCCATTTTATATTTGAGATCTTTTGGCCTTTTGGAAGCTTAAAAATTTATTGGAATTAATGAAAACAGAATGTCAGATATGAAATAAACATCAGGTTTCATTGACTCAGTGAAGAGCTGTCCATCTGTTTTGGGTCCTTTTTCTTCTTTCTCTACTTGTCTTTAGTTTTAATAAACTCAGTGCATCTGGACTTTTCTAAAGTTGCTGACTGCATCCTTGGCTTTGTGGTTCTAATTCCATTTCCTGTCAGACCTGGGATTTCATCTGGTTCATTAACCTTCTCCCCTCACATAAGATTCTGTATAAAAGAGGGTATATGGGTCTCATTCTCTCTCATCCTGCCTCCCTTGGGGCTTTGGTTACAAGAAATAAATTGTTTGGTTCAGTTGTTTAACAGTAAAACAGGAATTGAAAACTTCCAAGAAGATATAATTTAAGCAAGAGTCATGGTGTTTCTGGAGGAAGCCAGATAACCATGTGATGGGACACTGCATGCTCACTCTGCTGTTCTAACTGCTTCTTCTACCCTTGGATATTTGCCAGAGGCAATTCATTGCTATCTAAGTCTGAGGTTGTTATGTCATTTCTTCTCCACCCTACCACCTGTCGGGTCCAACTGTGACCTAGATTGTTGAAATGTTTCTCTTTTTATGGCTTCCTACCTCATCAGTCTCTCTAGTACCAATTGTTTGTTTGCTTCAAATGTCTCAACCTAATTTTTTGGTACAGTGATATACACATATTTGACTAACCTTTGTATTTAAAGACGGAAAAAAGAGTTTTTCCTAAGCTACCTGATTCATAATAATTGTTTGCCTTTTCTTAGAATTTTAGAGCAGAATGAGAGCCCCTAGGAGCATCCAGTCTAAAACCTGATTTTAAGAATCAAAATTTGTGACTGAGGAAAGCTTAGCCAAAGCATCAGACTGTTACTTTTCCTATAGAGAACATTTTCTATGGTAGTACTAACTGTATATTAAATGTGACTGACTTAGCTGATGCTCATAATTAACATTCTCTCTCTCTTTTTCTCCCTTTCCTCCTCTCTCTGACTCTGTCTCTCTCTTTTTCTTTCTATATATGTGTGTATGTGTGTGCAGGCCTGTGTGTCTGTGTGGATCTCATTTGTTTCCTTGCAATATCCCTATGAGTTGATACTATTGTTATCTTCACTTTACATATGAGGAAAAAAAAGGCAGAGATTAAGTGACTTGGCCAGGGTCACATAGCTACTAAGTGTCTGTGGCAGGATTCAATCTTAGATCTCCTTGATTCCAAGCCTAGTGTTCTATCCATGATGGCACTGAGCTGCTTCAAGCAGTTCCACTGTTTATATGGAGATCCAGCTATTTCTACAACTTACAGATCCTATTAATGTATACTAGCAGAGCCTCTCCATTGTGGGCTCTATGGTACCTGAGGACATGAGGAATTACTCTTGCTTTACCTATGATTTTTGCATGACATTTTGACTTGTCTACTCCGCCAATTCCTTATAAATCTACAGTTATGACACAGGAGGTAAAACTCGGGTTACATATATCACCAGGTTTTCCATTCAATAATTAGACCAGGGAATTAGTGAAAGTAATTAAAAATAAACAGTAGGTCATATAATTTTGGGAGAGAGCCATCCCAAAATATACTGTTCCCTGCCTCATGCCACTCTTTTTAAAAAAAAATAATTTTTTTATTATATAATTGATAAACATCAATAGACATAATCATTTTCATGTACAAAGAAGAAAATAAAGAGCCATGAAACTATCCATTATGTAAAGCTTGTTACAGTTAACATAACAAATTCAATATGGTAGACCTGAAATTGTCCTTTTGTGTTGCTTTCTGAACTTCCTTCTTTCTTTTTGCATCACTATCACTACTCCCTTTCCCCACCACAAAATAAAAGCCTTTCCTTGTAACAAATAGACAAAACAAATCCCTACATTGATCATGTCAGAATTTGTCTGTCATCATGTCATTATTGTTCTGTAGTTGTGGTTGGTCATTGTACTGATCAGAGTTTAAGTCTTTCAGCATTATTTTCCTTTACAATGTTTTAGTTGTATAAACTATTCTGATCTTGCTCATTTTATATCAATTCATGAAGAAACATCGGGATTCCCAGGTTTCTCTAAATCCCTCTCTTTGTCATTTCTTAGGGCACAGTGATATTCCATTACCTTCATCCACGATGATTCATTTGTATTATTCATGAGTATCTCCTTAGTTACCTGCTCTTTGCTACAACAAAAAGTTTTTGTAGGAGTATTTTTGTACATATGGATTCTTTCCTTCCTTTTATCTTTTTGGGCTATAAACATAGTAATGATGTCATGGTTAAAGGGTATGCACAGTTTAGTGACTTTTTGGATTCCAAATTGTTTTCTAGAAAGTCTGGAACAATACACAGTTCTACCAACAGTACATTGGTATCTACCTTCATCCTCTCCAAAAATTGTCATTTTCTATTTTTATACCAGTGCTAATCTGCTGGCTTTGGAATTTCTTTTTTCTTTCCCTTTGTGCTGGATTTTCTTGGCAATATTGTATCCAGAAAAGGCTGATGATTAAGGGAGCACAATGCAGGGTTTCCATTCATTATAGTTTTGCTTTTTATTCCTACCCTAGAATTCATTGAACTTTCCCTTTAAGTACTTTGATGCGCTACCATTTGTTGTATATACATATATATATGTGTATATATATATATACACACACATATATATATAAGCATTGATTCTATTTTGTTATCAATAACAAAGCACAATCTGCTTATCTTTTTTAACCATGTCAATATTTCCTGTTGCTATGTTTGAGATTGATTGCTGTCCTTGCTTTTTTGAGTTTAATAGGTTCTGCTCTAGTTCCTCATTTTAACGCTATGGATTTTTATATTTCAGAGATGTTTCTTTTAAACAATGTATTGTTGTATTTTGCTTTCTGATCCATTCTGATATCCTCTTCTGTTTTATGGTTATAATTGTTCACATTCACATTTATGGTTGTAATTGTTATAAATCATGTATTTTCTCCATTATATCTTCTTATCCTTTTCCTCTCTTAGCCATCTACTTCATTTCTCCTTCCAAAGAAGAAGGTGGTGAAAGAAAAAGAAAATTGTTAACACTAGTAATCTATAATTGAAGTGGTCTGTTCCAACCCCCGTTGGGGAAGTCTTCAGGCAGCTGTTGGGCATGTCATTGTAGGGATTCTTTTCATCTGTTGATTACATTAAATAGCTATTGAGATCTTTTTTAACTCTCAAATTCTAGAATTCTTAACTCTCCCTCTCTTGACTTTGCCCAAACCCCAGTTACCTGTTCTTAGACTCATTTCTTTTCTCTTTTACAAACCACCTTTGAAGATAAAGTTTGTTTTGCCTGTGTCTGTTCCTTTTCCCATTCTGTTTGTCTTCTTAAATCTCCTTCTTCTTCGTCTCTTATGAGGCATTTAAGTGGTGCAGTGTGTAAAAGCACTGAGCCTTGGAGTTAATAGGATCTGAGTTTGAATCCAGCTTCAAACATTTAATAACTATGTAACCTTGGCCAAGTCACTTAACTTCTATTTGCCTTAGTTTCCTCTCTGTTGTAAACTGGGGATAATAACAGGACCTACCTCACAGTTGTGAGGATTAAAGGAGATAATATTTGTAAAGTGCTTAGCCTGGTGCCTGGCATATAGTAGGCATTATATAAATGCATATTGCCTTCCCTCTGTTCCTTTCCCCTTTCTCCTCTTATCTGTTCCTTCCTGATTCTCTGTTGAGTTTATATATTTCCACTCCAAATTTTTTTTCTTTCTGTGTGTGTTCAACCCTTTTTTTTGGTCTAAGTCAGATAACAGTAAGATTAATGCTATTCCTTCTCTCTCATTCCACCATTCATTTTTGTATATTCTCCTTCTAATAGACCCTAATTATGAGATGTAGTAAGTTCTTTCTTCTCATTTTTTCTTCAGTGTTTTCTTTTTCTTCTTTTTCTTT